GTGGTGTTGTCTGTGTGTTGTGTGGTGTTGTCTGTGTGTTGTGTGGTGTTGTCTGTGTGTTGTGTGGTGTTGTCTGTGTGTTGTGTGGTATTGTCTGTGTGTTGTGTAGTATTGTTGAAGTAGTATTTCTGTGTGTTTTGCTTTGATGGTTTGATACAAGATTCCGACACAGGCCTTTTGGCACTTTGGTCTGTCAGAGACTGTCGCTAGCCGTCAATTTGTTGTTGGAGACCGTAGTACTTCCTGTCTGGGGTCACTGAATTGATGTCTTATGTAGAGATATAAGAAGAATTGTTTGCTTTCTTTTCCTCAGATGTTCTGGGAGAAGGAAGCTTTTCTCAGGTTTTCAAAGGAACCTATCGCGGCTCGGACGTTGCCATAAAAAGATTGAGAGCTCCGCTTTTGTCAGTGGACAAGAACTATTTCACTGCTGAGGTATTGGTCACTTATCTTACACTGAGGTATTGGTCACTTATCTTACACTGACTGGTCACTTATCTTACACTGAGGTATTGGTCACTTATCTTACACTGACGTATTGGTCACTTATCTTACACTGAGGTATTGGTTGTGTGTGTGTCTTGTACTGGTGGGCAAAGGAATGGCATTTCTCTGTGGAAGGCCCCAATATTTGGTACATTGAAAATAAAAAACAAACAAACCCTCTTCTTCTTCTTCTTCTTCTTCATCTTCTTCTTCCCCTCTCCTCCTCCTCCTCCTCCACTGTCTTTTCCCCCAGAGCATCTTCCCCATCTCTCCAGCTCTGGGCCATTTGTCCCACTTTTCGCCCCATGGCACCATTTGTCCCACATTTTCACCACATGCCACCATTTGTCCCACATTTTCACCATGTGCCACCATTTGTCCCACATTTTCGCCCCATGGCACCATTTGTCCCACATTTTTGCCCCATGCCACCATTTGTCCCAAATTTTCACCCATGCCACCATTTGTCCCACATTTTCACCATGTGCCACCATTTGTCCCACATTTTCGCCCCATGCCACCATTTGTCCCAAATTTTCACCCAAGCCACCATTTGTCCCACATTTTCACCACGTGCCACCATTTGTCCCACATTTTCACGGCGTTCCTTCCCGTCTGTGCAATGTGCAGGTGTCAATGCTCCAAGAACTGAGACATCCGCACGTTGTCATGTTGCTTGGCGTCTGCTCGGGCGACAAACTGCCCCTGATGGTGCTGGAGTTTATGGCGCGCGGAAATCTCCACAGTCTTCTGCACGACGCTACAAGGTCGGTGGTTTGGACGGTCATTTGTTTTCCGAATCCAGCGGTATAGAAAACTACAGAGGGGGGAGTTGTGGGGGAGTTGTGGGGCAGTTGTGGGGTTCCTGCCATGTTATCAAAGCCCAGGAATTTGTTTACCTGATTTAGTCGACTAAAGATAAGATGAGATAAGGTAAGGTAAGGTAGATAAGATGAGATGAGATAAGGAAAGGTAGGGTAGATAGATGAGATAAGGTAGGGTAGATAAGATAAGATGAGATAAAGAAAGGTAGGGTAGATAGATAAAATGAGATGAGATAAAGAAAGGTAGGGTAGATAGATGAGATAAGGTAGGGTAGATAAGATAAGATGAGATAAGGTAAGGTAGGGTAGATAAGATGAGATAAGGTAAGGTAGGGTAGATAAGATAAGATGAGATAAGGTAGGGTAGGGTAGATAAGGTAAGGAAAGGTAGAGTAGGGTAGATAAGGTAAGGAAAGGTAGGGTAGGGTAGATAAGGTAAGGTAAGGTAGATAAGGTAGGGTAGGGTAGGGTAGATAAGGTAAGGTAAGGTAGATAAGGTAAGGAAAGGTAGGGTAGGGTATTTAAGGTAAGGTAAGGTAAGGTAGATAAGGTAGGGTAGGGTAGATAAGGTAAGGTAAGGTAAGGTAGATAAGGTAAGGAAAGGTAGGGTAGGGTAGTTAAGGTAAGGTAAGGTAAGGTAAGGTAGGGTAGGGTAGGGTAGGGTAGGGTAGGGTAGGGTAGATAAGGTAAGGTAGATAAGGTAGGGTAGGGTAGGGTAGGTAAGGTAAGGTAGATAAGGTAAGGTAAGGTAAGGTAGATAAGGTAGGGTAGGGTAGGGTAGATAAGGTAAGGTAAGGTAGATAAGGTAAGGTAGGGTAGGGTAGATAAGATAAGGAAATGTAAGTTAGATAGATAAGATGAGATGAGATAGGAATGAGTGTAACTGATCTCCATACCGAGACATTTGCTGCACAGTGGTAAATACTTTCACACACAAGCATTCATCTACACATGTACACACACACACACACACACACACACACACACACACACACACACTCACACACACATACATTTCTCTCTTAACTCGTCTGCTGGGACATTTAAGTAACCCGCTTTCAGAACTTTTTAAGGACCCCCGGGCAAGTGTTGAGTTCGTGCGTGATGTCGGCATCGCTGACCGTTTATGATGGAACAGCGTCAGAAGAAAGAGAGAGAGAGACACATTTCTCCATCTCTCTGTCTCTCTCTCTCTCTCTCACAAACACACAGACAAAAGTGTGCGCGTGCACATATTTCATACCAATGTACACACATGAATAGTCATTGGATGGACATACCAAATAACTTGTTTTTGCCTCCCTAACAATCACTGAATAGTTTATATTGATGATGGTAGGAAGGAATTTTTATTCACATTCGTTTTTGCTTCTTTTTTTTTTTAAAGAATAAAACATTTACTTCTAACAGATGTTTGATATATCAAATGTCATAATAGGCTTTTGGTTTGGGCACTGATCATCCTTTTTCAATTTTGCCATCAGTATATCGCTGTTGTCATGAACGATCATCCTTTTTGCCATCAGTATATCGCTGTTGTCATCAACGATCATCCTTTTTGCCATCAGTATATCGTTATTGTCATCAACGATCATCCTTTTTGCCATCAGTATATCGCTTTTGTCATCAACAATCATCCTTTTTGCCATCAGTATATCGCTTTTGTCATCAACAATCATCCTTTTTTGCCACCAATATATCGCTGTTGTAAAGCTCAGCAAAAGAGTGCAGTGAACTATTTTCCTTTTTGAATGTTTTCCTCCGTTTCTTTCACTCACGGCGTCTGCAATAACAACAACTGTTTTTGCACGTGCCAGGGCTGATCTGAGCCAGGAGGAGTATTGCCAGATTGGCCATGACGTGACGGCAGGCATGCTGTATCTGCACCTCCACCAGCCTCCCGTGCTGCACCTGGACTTGAAGTCTTGCAACGTTCTCATTGGATACGGCACCAGAGCCAAAGTGGCAGATTTCGGTTTTTCAAAACTAAAGTAAGTCCTTTCGAAAGATTTTGTCAGTTTGTGGCGTCTGTATTAGATGGTGAAAGATCTTGTCAGTTCGTGGCGTCTGTTACAGATGGTGAAAGATCTTGTCTGTGGCGTCTGTTACAGATGGTGAAAGATCTTGTCAGTTTGTGGCGTCTGTTACAGATGGTGAAAGATCTTGTCTGTGGCGTCTGTTACTGATGGTGAAAGATCTTGTCAGTTCGTGGCGTCTGTTACAGATGGTGAAAGATTTTGTCAGTTTGTGGCGTCTGTTATAGATGGTGAAAGATCTTGTCAGTTTGTGGCGTCTGTTGACAGATGGGGAAAGCTCTTGTCAGTTCGTGGCGTCTGTTGACAGATGGGGAAAGATCTTGTCAGTTTGTGGCGTCTGTTATAGATGGTGAAAGATCTTGTCAGTTTGTGGCGTCTGTTGACAGATGGGGAAAGATCTTATCAGTTTGTGGCATCTGTTGACAGATGGGGAAAGATCTTGTTAGTTCGTGGCGTCTGTTGACAGATGGGGAAAGATCTTGTCAGTTCGTGGCATCTGTTGACAGATGGGGAAAGATCTTGTCAGTTTGTGGCGTCTGTTATAGATGGTGAAAGATCTTGTCAGTTTGTGGCGTCTGTTGACAGATGGGGAAAGATCTTGTCAGTTTGTGGCATCTGTTGACAGATGGGGAAAGATCTTGTCAGTTCGTGGCGTCTGTTGACAGATGGGGAAAGATCTTGTCAGTTTGTGGCGTCTGTTACAGATGGTGACAGATCTTGTCAGTTTGTGGCGTCTGTTACAGATAGGGAAAGATCTTGTCAGTTTGTGGCGTCTGTTATAGATGGTGAAAAATCTTGTCAGTTTGTCATAGTTTTAGAATCTAGGTCTGTCAACTGGAAAAGGAGAAAGTACTACCAACCTTATAAACAATTTGGCTTGGACTAACGCAGAAATAGTTAAGAGACCAACTGTCTCGGAAGCTTTTATCAGAAAAATCCACGCTGAAAAGGGATTTTAAATTACTCAAAAGATGTTGAGCCAAATACAAAAAAATGAGATGAAAATTGCCAGATCAACAGAAAAATGCCAGATTCTTCCATTTCATTATTTTGATACGCGCCTGATTTCACCAGCACACTGCATTTGATGTTTTCCCCCCAGACATGAAGCAGACGTGAAAGTGTCGAGAGCGAGCAGACTTGAACCGTCGCAAGCCACGCCCGCCTGGATGGCACCAGAGCTACTGGCGGCAGGGGAGATCACCCCGAAGGCGGACGTCTATAGCTTCGGAATAATTCTCTGGGAAATGCTGACGAGGCAGATCCCTTACGAGGGCCTCTCTATTTACCAGGTAACATTAGGTTCTGTTTAGTTTTTGTAAGAGTTTTGCGGCACTTGCAACACAATCAGGTCATATAAATGCCAAGGATTAGAGTTGTTACTAGAGAGTACAGAATTCTACACTTATAGAAGCGGAACTCCCTCTTTGCGATCGCTAATTCGCTGTGAGGAATTGAAACTAAAACATGGCGGCCTGTTGAGGGCACCTTTGGCTGCGCCGCACAGCGAGGTTTCGCGTTGCTATGCACGCTGATACTAGTGGTAGGGCTTAGAAGACACCTTACATCAGTATTTTAAAACTTTCTTCGAAGAGGAAATATCGTGAAATAGTCTAGTACATTTTTATTGCCAACAATATGTCATAATTGGCAATGTTACAATGTTTTTGTATTTGTATTTTTGGTTTGTTGTTTTTTTAATGATGGGATGGGATCTGATCTAGATCTACTAAAGATCGTCACAATCACAATACACTTGATAATAACACTAATTATGAACATTAATTCTGTTGGCAAAATATCTAGATATTGTCTTGATTAGTACTAGATCTACGATAAAGGAGACGCTGACACTACAATAATATTGTCATTAAACTTAGACTTAAGGCCATCCAAAGCAAGCAAAAAAGAACATTACAAGCCTTTTCTCCAATTTACTAGAAAGAGATAAATAAATTGAGCTTATATTGAGGAAATGTATTATTTCTCACTTTAAGAATTCATCTCTGTGTTCGCATCAGTAGTGTGTACAACAACATGCTTTTTGTTTAAAGCACGTGCGAGTCTAACAAATACAAGAGATTGGAGAATGTGTCGGTTGCACATAAAATACATAGGCCTATTGTACATGCTGCCAAAAACACAAAAATGCAGAAAAGGCCTCAAAATATTGGTTTACACATAAAAGCCAATAATGCAAAACAAAGTAAACAAGAGTGGAACTGGCATATGTTTCCTGAATATATGTTCAAAGTCATTTTCTGTGTGTTGGGAGTGTGATTTCTAATGCATGAATGATAGGCTCATTCAGATGTGATAATGAAGAAACTTGTGTCTACAGTCACAACAGAAAGAGTTCCATGGTGAGTGATCACTGGTCAAGGATTTCAGAGCTGTGTGCATTTTGAGAAAAATGTATCCCCATACCCTGGATCACATGTCAACGGGATGGGCTTGTCCCCCTGTAATCCCCGCACACAGTAAACAAACACAAATTTTTTAACACGAATAAGAAAAATTAAGTGGTCTCTTGTTACGGATCAAATTGAAGTCCTGTTTCAATTCGATTAATTGATAAAAGTGCGTATCGCAATGCGTTGGCCACTCGCCTGCCCTATAGGCCTATGCTATTTAATAAATACATTCGTCAGACCTGGAATCTTTAATGCCCGCACACAGTAAACATTTTTGTTTAAGAATAAGAAAAAATAAGTGGTCTCTTGTTACGGATCAAATTGAAGTCTTGTTACAATTCAATAATTGATAATAGCGCGCATTGCAATGCATTGGCTAACTCAGCATTATACGCTATTTAATAATACATTCGTCAGATTTGGAATCTTAAATTATAATCATAATTATATGTGCCCGCGCGTGGGAAGTGAAAGTGAAAGGAATTGAAAATGCTTTCACATACAATTATGAAAGTAACATAATTAAAGTAGGACTGCATGTGCTTATAAAGGCCCAAAAAGGTGTATGGATGCGGAAATTAATGTTTCGGATGAAAATAATACGCTATCTCTACTACTGTAGCATGCGGTCAAAAATGTGATGCGCAACTTATTATCAAATATCTAGGCTACTGAACTATCGAACACCTAGATCTAGATTCTCCTACTTTTACACAATGACTTAGATCTATATCAATTCGTCTTAACCGATGAGTATTTTTTTCAAACATTTGTACACATCTATAGGTTCTATATTATTCTAGAAATGTCTTTAAAGAAAATTCTTATATAAATACTAGCCCAATATTTTAAAAAAATCCCAGTCAATGGTTTCTACAGATTTTTAAAAAGTTTATAGCAGGAGCTAAATCTCTTTTAAAAGCAAGTCCGTCCTTTTTTCTACTTCTGCTGGCGACATAAAGCTAATTATTGAACACAAGTTTTGAGAACATTAATTAGATCTAGTGAAAAAATATGTTCAGTGTAAAACAAATTTCTTGTAACAAGTTTTGCTACTAAAAAATTACGTAGGCCATATGCGTATTCAAAATGTGTGTGGGAAGCTAGAAGTGCTGTGAACAATCCCGTCCGTGTTACGAATTTTTTCACAGTTCTGTAGATCTTATATTTATAAACTCTTTATGTCTGCTTTTTCTGTTGCTACACCCAAAAACACAACAATTTAAAACCTTAATTCTAATCTCTAGTTGCACAGTGAATTCTGTAACTCAAAACTACAAACTGGACAGTAAATGTTCCACTTTTCACTCGTTTGTAAAAGCCGCTCTTGCTTTAAAAGCTATAGGGTTACTTCCGAAAACGATAAAATGTGCCCTCAAGACGCCATTGTTTTTGGTCTTCAATTCCTCACAGGTCACGTGGTACAGTTCCCGTTCTATAAGTGTAGAATTCTGTGCTAGAGAGTAATATACCAAGAAAAGATGGAGGAAAGATAAGGATGAAAGATGTGTGATAGAAGTGAAGGAGCAAACCACACTAGAGCTCTCCTATGAAACATCTGTCGTCCTTATCACTCCTTCTTGTCTTTGTTGCTATCTAGCAGTTACACCTCTAGTCTTCAGCACTTATAGTGCCTATTTGTGTTGCAAGTGCCGTAAAACTCTTACAAAAACCGACTGAAAACTGCCATGAGCATGCTGGTAGTCAAAACAATATTTGAGTACAGAGAGACCTGGCTCAAAACTGATCCAAAAAACGTAAGCAAGACAACCACCTGTATAAGACAACCACCTGTATAAGACAATCGCCTGTATAAGACAACCACCTGTATAAGACAGCCACCTGTATAAGACAATCACCTGTATAAGACAACCACCTGTAGAAGACAACTACCTGTATAAGACAACCACCTGTATAAGACATCCACCTGTACATATTAGACAATCACCTGTATAAGACAATCACCTGTATAAGACAACCACCTGTACAAGACAATCACCTGTACAAGACAATCACCTATATAAGACAACCACCTGTACAAGACAACCACCTGTACAAGACAACCACCTGTATAAGACAACCACCTATATAAGACAACCACCTGTATAAGACAACCACCTGTACATATTAGACATCCACCTGTATAAGACAACCACCTGTCTAAGACCTCCACCTGTCCTGATAACATCCGTCCACCATCACAGAAAAACTGAACCAACTCTTGTCATTTTCATTATTTCAAGGAGAAATGTCTATCACATTAATCACTGAAACTGAACGCACATGATGGTAGAACTTTTGAAAATATCCAGGAATGACAAGAGTGAGGAACAGCACAGAAGAATGCCTGTTGGCGCGATCATTATTCACTCATTGTTCACTGTTGTTGTTGTTGTTGTTATTTAATTTTCTTATAACGATGATGTAAACCTTTTGTTGTTGTTGTTGCTGTTGTTGTTATCTATACATATTTTATTTGTTAAAATCCATCACTTTGGCCGCCTAAAACTTCGGAACCACTTAACTTTCGAATTTGAAAAAATTAAGGGTGGTTCAGAATTATTTAAAGGGTTCACAACTTTATTGAGGAGTCTGAAGTCACTGTAGTTTAATTTTCAGTTTTTCATTAGTTTCGTTTAGGTCTAATCTTGGGAAAGTCCGTCTTCTTTGACGTCATTGTAAACGAGTGAGGCTTCCGTTTACAAGCTGTGCGCACTGGTTCCACAATGACTTGACGTTCACAAGCTGTGCACACTGGTTCCACAATGACTTGACATTCACAAGCTGTGCACACTGGTTCCACAATGACTTGACGTTCACAAGCTGTGCACACTGCTTCCACAATGACTTGACGATTAGTTTAAGTACGTTCATCGAACGTGTACTCAGCTAGTTTTCTTATAACTATGACGTAAAACTTTTGTTGCTGTTGTTGTTGTTGCTGTTGTTGTTGTTGTTGCTGTTGTTGTTGCTGTTGTTGTTGCTGTTGCTGCTGTTGTTGTTATTGTAGTTATTTTCTCATTATAACGATGATGTAGGCCTAAACCTTTTGTTATTGTGGTTGTTGTTGTTGCTGCTGCTGTTGTTGTTGTTATTTTGTCATAACGATGATGTAAAACTTTTGTTGTTGTTGTTGTTGTTGTTGTTGTAGTTATTTTCTCATAACGATGATGTAAACCTTTTGTTGTTGTTGTTGTTGTTGTTGTTGTAGTTATTTTCTCATAACGATGATGTAAACCTTTTGTTGTTGTTGTTGTTGTTGTAGTTATTTTCTTATAACGATGATGTAAACCTTTTGTTGTTGTTGTTGTTGTTGTTATTTTCTCATAACGATGATGTAAACCTTGCACCAGGTCCTAGAGAGTGTGCGACTAAATCGGCGGCCGGTGGTTCCGGCGTCGTGCCCGACTGTCTTGTCCCACCTCATGAGGAAATGCTGGGAACACAACCCTGCGGCAAGACCCAGCTTCAAGGTGAACGATTTGTACACGGTCGCCTCGTTGTCTTTGTTCATTGAGGGGGTGGTTGGCAGGCGCTCTGCTGGTGTTTTTGCTCCTCTTGTAAGACATTTATTGCCCTCATCTCTTCTACTAAATTTCTTTTCTGTTACTCTCTAGTAACACGTCTAATCTTCGGCACTGATATGACCTATTGATGTTGCAAGCGCAGTAAGACTGGGGGGAGGGGAGTGTCTTTGGATTGAACTGAGGAGCATAATCTGGTCCCTGTTTGTCAATCTTGATTTAATCCTCTGTGTTTATCAATCTTGATTTAATCGTCTGTGTTTGATGATGTATGCAAGGTCATAAGCTGAGATCATCGTGTAGCCCAGACTTTTGCCAACTCTTCCCAAGACTCTAGCTCCATTCTTTTGTCTTCATCTTGATCGCCTCTCGTATTCTCCTAATCTTTAGGAGTCTTCCTCTGTTTCTTTTACCAACTGGAGTCAGCAAAAGGAAACTGTAGACTCTATGCTTCTGGGGAAGCTGAAGATCTGTACAAATCATCCTAAAGTGCCAGATCTGCGACAGATTTGAGCAATCCTATCATGGTTCTCCATTCAGTTCTTTGCTTGGATGTTCCCAAAAAAGCTATGTTATCCTGACCTTTCCCTGTCACCCGTCCATTTAGGCTCTCGCGGTCTACCTCTACCTTATTTGCCTTGAATGTTGTCAGTGAGAGTTGGATGTTCAAGGAATTTATGTCTATCCAGGTGCCCCAGAAACTGCATTTGTTATTTCTTGATTGTGTTTATTAGTGGACGATACAAGAGATATTTATTATTGCTCCATTCTGACTCATGCTCACAAGCTTGCACAGGATATAGATCTTGTTGAGTTCTGAGTAGACATTTGTGTGGGTGGTTGACGGGTGCTCTGGTGTGGTTTGCTCCTTCTTTCCTTTCAAAATCTATCGTCCTGATCTCTCCTCCTTTTTTGTGATTGTTACTCTCTTATACCCCTCTAATCTTCAGCACTTATATGACCTAATTGTATTCAAGTGCCGTAACATTCTGACTAAAACAAAAGACATTTGTGGGAGACCTCCCCATTGACGTGTTTCCCTTATTTTGTGGTCGTATTAATTAACGTTTCTTTGCCACTTTGTACCGTATATTTCAGGATGTGCTGAGGACACTTGGACGACTTCCCAGCGCTGAAGGGTGGAAGACGAAGACTGTCGGGCTAGAGGGAGATGAGCAGGGAAGAGCTGCCGGAGCAGAGAGGAGAAACACTTTGGAAGTAACGCAGCGTACTCCTGTGGGGGACTGGTCTTTGCAGGTCGAGTCTGTTTCTTCTGATGAGGAGGATGGTGACAGTGATGATGATGATGATGACGATGGTGATGATGATGAATCAAGTGGTGAGGGGAGCAGCTGTGGCGGGGATGACAGGGGAGAGAACGAGTTTGATTCTCCAGAGAGCAGCAACCATCAGGACTCGAGTCTGTCACCGGAGAAAAAGGAAGCAACAAGTTCTCGGAGACGTAGTCCACAGACACAGATGTTGCCAGAGGAATCCTTCTCCGACAAGGTCAAGGATGAGAAAACCAGCGCCAGCGCAGAGGAAACAGTCAAGCGTCTGTCAGTAGTTTTGCCTACGGAAAGTTTAGCAGAAGATGAACAGGAAGTAGTTTTTGGTGATCACTGCTGGCGACAGGAGTCCGTCCATGACGCGGAACAGATCCCGTCTCCAGATGAAAGGCAGAGCAACAGACCAAGCAGACGTACAGATACCGCTGCTAAACTCATTGAGAAATACTTGCCAGCAACAAAACTGGGGAGCGCACTGAGCAAATCTTGTGACCTTCACCCACAAGGACAAACAGACAGACGGTACTCCTCCGATAAATTACTTCCCCTGCGGCATTCTATGGACCGCCCCAAACCGGAAGTGCCACCCAGAAAAGATGACGGTCCAGTCAGACGTCAAGGACCAGACACGTCTGCTCACAGTTGTCACGAGATCTCGGAGACTCGGTCAAAGGACTTCCACTCAGATCTCCCCTCCAAGGACGCAACAACGACCAGTTTGAGCGATGATGTTGACCCCCGCAGCTCTTTCAAAGACGGTAGTGACAAAGGGGAAATAACTTCATACGTTCCTTCCTTTCTCAAAGACAAACCAACGCCTTCTCCGAGAATGAGCATTGCTCCAACACCCCAGGACACAACCAATTGGGGGAAAACTGTCAACAGAAGTTTGGATTTGCCCATGCTAAGTTCTTTCATGAAATCCCTGGACAAAGCTGAGGGAAAACCGACAATGAGATCTGCCGATGTTTCCCACAAGGCTCGTTTTCTTGCAAAATCTGGAACTGGTCAAAGAACAAGTGTTTCTCAAGTTGCAGGGTTTGAAGAGGAAGATCATCGAAGCAGTTATTTGACCCAAGTGTCAGAGGAATTCAAGAGCTGTGAACCCATCCCTTCTCTAAAGAAACAAGTAAACAATAACAGACAAACACACAACAGACAAACACACGACAGACAAACACACAACAGACAAACACATGACAGACAAACACAACATGAATTAGATAATGTTGAACAGACCAGACTTGATTGTTCACTTCACAAAACCTTTCTGGAATCCCCTTTGGAGACGAGTGAGAGTGAGAAGAGATTCCCTTTTTTGTCAGAGCTGCTAGTTGCTGCTGCCAAGAGAACTGATGAAAACGCCGACTTGGCTTCGGGATCCTCCATTTCTCGTGTTACGAATCCAGACTTTGGGAAATCTGAACGTCAGAATGTTTTGTTATCTTCAGACTCGTCAAATCACTCGGAACTACTTCTGCGTGATAAATCTGAGCATCAACGCATTTCTTTGTCTACAGACTCATCAACTCCTTCAGAGCAGCTCAAAGCGTTAGTGCTTTCTTCCGATTCATCTGGAGATACAACAAAGTGTCAAGATAAGGATTGTGAGAAGGCAATATCTGACCCTGTCCTACACGGCCCTGAAGATACTTTACCCTCCAGACCCAGGAGGCTGAGCGCGGATTCGGATTCAGATTCTTCGACTGAGGTTGACAATCTTTCCGTGGACAGTTTGAGTCTGAGCACAGATGAAGTGGATTTCTCCGTTGTCCGTGGCCCCGGGGCGGATCACAGTGCCGCGACTGTCCTTGCAGACATTTCCAGCTCCCTGTCTCAAGCTACATCAGCCAAGGGGATTCAAAACAAGTCCAATACTGAGAATATTCCTCAACTTTCTAGTAAAAGTATGTGCAAGTCAAATAACGATAGGCATCAGTTTGCTAATAGGGAAAGTTTTTATCTCCTTGAGAGTCATAATGAAGATCCACCTTTTGTGATTGAGTCACCACAAAGTGTGAACTCCTCTCATGTCAAAGAAACTTCTCCGAATCAACAGTTTGTGGGAGCGGATAGTGTCATGTGTCACCGTCCTGGTGTGGACTTTGGGCTTACAGGGCATGATGGAGAAAGCCAACAGGATTCAGGAAATGAGGCTGGCAGGAACGACTCTTTCTCTACCTCTCAAGTTGTCGGCAAAAATGTTGACGGTATACACAAATCGACAAATGGAGATGACAAGTTCGAAAGAGATTCTCTCGAGGAAGGTCCAGAGATGGTTCAGCATCAAGTTAATAAGACAGCCGGAAAGGAACTGTCAAGAAAGCAGCTTGTGAAAAATAAAATGAATTCTCAAAGTTCCAGCAAAAACAGTGAAAAAAATGTTTACGACAGGAAGTCACCTTGGTCTGCCACTGTCAATCGAGTCCCGATTCCAAAACTGCAGTTTTCAGCAGCAGATATCATCTCTCAGAAGGGAAAGTTGTCAAAAGCCAAAGAACTGGCGCCACATGTACAAAGGGGAGCTAACTCAGGTCCCCCGCCCGGTGCCCACTTCTCTCTACGTGCCAGCATGCTGCTGGCTCAGAAAGGTCAGCTGAGGCCGGTGGTTTCGCGAGAGCCGACGTCACCGACAAAGCTTCTGGAAAGGTCACAGCAAGGGTCTGTGCCATCTGTTGCCAGCATTCTCAAAAGGGTATGTATTGGGAACAGTCATAACACTGGTGCAGGAGGGTTGATCAATAACAACAACAAGAATGTAGATCATTTTTCTATTGTGTACACACAGCTCTAGGGAAGCCTTCTGGCTGTTCTTGAGCTCGGGCGATTTTGTGCTCTCAACCCATTTGTCTTGGACTTATCAGAGATGAGCGTTTGAACCTATGAACAATGTTTGGACCTATCAGAGATGAATGTTTGGACCTATCAGAGATGAATGTTTGGACCTATCAGAGATGAATGTTTGGACCAATCAGAGATGAATGTTTGGACCAATCAGAGATGAATGTTTGGACCAATCAGAGATGAATGTTTGGACCTATCAGAGATGAATGTTTGGACCTATCAGAGATAAACGTTACATTCGAAGGTCCTGCCTCTTAAGTAACATGATTCTGTTGATAGAGTTGTTAAACCCGTACATTGGCTTTGAGGGGAATTTCCGTACTGTGGAACTCGGATTCAACGAGGTCGCTGGGCCTGACCTAAAATCTCGTTGAATCCGAGTGTTCGTTATAGCAAACACGAGGTTTTGTGTAGATAATTACAGGCACAGAGAGAGTAATGTATAAAGAGAAGTCACAGGAAGTGCCTGAAATGCCTGCATATTATGAGCTGTGGAAAAAAAAAGACCGATTCGTTCAAAGGCACACGCCTGTGTCATCTCGATTGTTTACCAAAAAGTTGAGTTGCTGTGTAGAGCCAGTAGCTTAGCATACGGCAACTTTTGATTCCATAGACCGGCGCACAATTCATTACGTAGATCTACGTCAAGACTAGCTTATCATTGTCATAATGATCAGTTGCCGAGGGGAAAAAAAGACTGACGCGTTTGTATCTGCGACATTCAACGCCCGGACCGCTAGTGCCCCCCCCCCCCCTCCCCGACACACACACACAGTCACACGTGTGCAGGCCGCCCATCCGACCCCGACACACGCCAGAGTAGACACGTGCACGTGCCAACAACGCATGTGTTGATATTAAAGAAGACCGCTGATTGTTCGCATGCAATCGGTTAAGTGAATAATGGTTCACGATGCAGGTGCAATGGATGGTTTCCGGGAATAGATAAAGTTTGTTCTGGGAGAAAAATGAGTGAAGCCACGTCTGTGGGGGCTGTTCCCCATGGCAGCGACCTCGTTGAATCCCAGCTCGCTGATTTAAGTGCTCGTTGAATCCGGGTTACTTTTATTGATTTTAAAGAAGAAAAAAAACGGGGAATCTATCTCATCTCGTTGAATTCGAGTTCCATTGTACATCTTTTCAGTAGCTTAAATATTACCCCAGCTCTTTCCAGTTTTGGACCAGGCAAAATAGATCCACATCCTTACAGCACCCACACTGCAATCATTGGCAGAATCCACACCCCGACCTCCCTCTTCATCACCAACCCCTGTTTCTAGACATACAGGACGGTGCTATCATTGTCCTTAAGTTGCACAGGCAGCCCAACGTTCCTGATATCTTGGGAACATGTTGTGCCCGTAACAGTTCACTCACGCTAAGTCCAGGAATGATGTTATTATTACTTCTGCTGCCCCATGAGTTGCTTTCTATTGGCTTGGTGCCTGATGGGTAAATTTAGCAAAAAGAAATGTTTTAATGCTTTGAAAATGTCTGTACAAATGTAGATGGTAACTTATAAGGAAACGTTGGAAAATCTTTTCCTCTCATGTAAATAAATTTCAGGTAATGCTACAAAAATTATGAGAATTTTTACAAAAATGTAATCTGTTTTCAGGCAATGACAGATCGACGGTTTGCCATGGGAGATAATCTGGATAGCCATGACGTGACACCCGATGCGTCGTGGTCATTGCAGGATGAGGAACTACCGACCTGAACATTTCTGGTTTCTCACAGCAAGGGGGAAACGTTCTGTCTTAAGTAGATTTGTTGTCAATAGAGCATTTTGATTCTGGGTGGAAGAAAATGTGAGCAGAGAACTGAACTCTTTGGCTCTGAATCACTACATAAGTGACCTTCTCTGTACCATGCTTCAGCGGATCTCTACGCTACTTGAGTGGGGTTTTGGGAGGTACTGATGTCCACAAGCCCAAGATCTACACATGAGGTTGTTGTGCTACATTTACTAACTTTGTCACCCATCTTGAGATTCTCTGTCCAGTTAGGAATAGTGTGAGAGCTCACAGAAACCAATCCATCAATATTTCACTGAATCATAACATCAATATTTCACTGAATCATAACATCAATATTTCACTGAATCATAACATCAATATTTCACTGAATCATAACATCAATATTTCACTGAATCATAACATCAATATTTCACTGAATCATAACATCAATATTTCACTGAATCATAACATCAATATTTCACTGAATCATAACATCAATATTTCACTGAATCATAACTAACAGTTTTAAGGTAACAACCTTGACCGCCTCAAATTGGGAGCGTAAAATTGGGGAATCTCTTGCATACAGAAAGAGTAAACCATTTTGCTGAAATGGATTTTCCATGTGTAGAGATTTCTCTGCCTTGAGTGTAAGATTTAGTAAGAAAGGTCTCCAGAATTTTAGCATTGAGATGAAAGGTTGTTACTTTTTATTCATCACATGGGAATAGAGAGATCGTTATGTTAGCGTTCAAAATCGTCTACAGAATTATGTTGTGATAATTTTTCATTTGTAAACAGCCCAAGACTATGGATTCTCAGGTGCATCATTCAAGACTGCTGAGTCTTTATTTGATATTGTTTCTTTACAATCTGCCGTTGTTGCTTTATAAAATGAGTTCTGAATAATAGCTGGAACTTCATACTTTATAGGTTATAGATGCTTAAAGAGATTTTTCTAATAAAAGATGAAAAATGAGGAGGGTAATAATTGAACAAAAGTACTATATAGGAGAGATAAGTTAAATTCTTGGACTGTTTGATTCAGTAGTTCAATTCTAGGACTGTTTGATCCAGTAGTTCAATTCTAGGACTGTTTGATTCAGTAGTTCAATTCTAGGACTGTTTGATCCAGTAGTTCAATTTAAATTCTAGGACTGTTTCGATGCAATATCCTGAAGTCTGAAGGCCTTTGACCTTTGTTGTTGGTAACAAGTGTCTAGATAGATGGAGATGTAGTTACTTTGTATTTCTGTATTGAATTTTGCTTTGTCACAGAGTGCCAGAGTAGAGAACTTCTCCTATTGAGAACTAGTTGTATCTGATTGACTCAATATTTATTGAGAACTAGTTGTATCTGATTTACTCAATATTTATTGTGAACTAGTTGTATCTGATTGACTCAATATTTATTGAGAACTAGTTGTATCTGATTTACTCAATATTTATTGAGAACTAGTTGTATCTGATTGACTCAATATTTATTGAGAGCTAGTTGTATCTGATTGACTCAATATTTATTGAGAACTAGCTGTATCTGATTTACTCAATATTTATTGAGAACTAGTTGTATCTGATTTACTCAATATTTATTGAGAACTAGTTGTATCTGATTTACTCAATATTTATTGAGAACTAGTTGTATCTGATTTACTCAATATTTATTGAGAACTAGTTGTATCTGATTTACTCAATATTTATTGAGAACTAGTTGTATCTGATTTACTCAATATTTATTGATGATTATTGATTACATGAATAGTACATGTAGAGGTTTGTATATATAGAATGTTGACCTGCTGTATTTTCATTTTAAATTTTGTCTGTTGGGACATTTTTTTAGATGGTCATTAACGATGTCATAAATTATATTATATGTATAGGCCTATGCATATTCTACTCTCTGCTGGGATGTTTCATCAGGGTCAGTGAAATATCGAGCCCAGGGTAGCTCTGACGAGCCCAGGGTAGCTCTGACGAGCCCAGGGTAGCTCTGACGCGCACGGCTGGAAGCCTGCCTCCTAAAGTATCTAAACTGCGTTGATGAAGGCGTAAAAAGCACCAACGTTTTATAGAAGAGTTCGTCTGTAGTTTTTTGTAGGGTTTTTGTTATATGTTAGCATGTAGCCTGCACACCGTAACTTTTTAAAAAATCACTACAACTTTTACGTGACACATTTTGTGGTCAGATTTGATCTATGGTAGTGTCGACAAGACACACACGTGGTCAGTGAGAATGCCCGTCAATGTCATAGATGGACCCAAAACACTGTGAAATAGTCACCACATAACTGTGAAATAGTCACCACATAACTGTGAAATAGTCACCACATAACTGTGAAATAGGCACCACAAAACTGAAATAGTCACCACATAACTGTGAAATAGTCACCACATAACTGTGAAATAGTCACCACAAAACTGAAATAGTCACCACAAAACTGTGAAATAGTCACCACAAAACTGTGAAATAGTCACCACAAAACTGTGAAATAGTCACCACATAACTGTGAAATAGTCACCACATAACTGTGAAATAGTCACCACATAACTGAAATAGTCACCACAAAACAGTGAAATAGTCACCACATAACTGTGAAATAGTCACCACATAACTGTGAAATAGTCACCACAAAACTGAAATAGTCACCACATAACTGTGAGATAGTCACCACATAACTGTGAAATAGTCACCACATAACTGTGAAATAGTCACCACAAAACTGAAATAGTCACCACAAAACTGTGAAATAGTCACCACATAACAGTGAAATAGTCACCACATAACTGAAATAGTCACCACAAAACTGAAAAGGTATATTGTCCTTTCTTTTATGAAATGTTTGATTTGTATCTGTTGTGAGAAGAAGAATTTTTACCTTTTTTTCTGTATTAATTTATGAAAACCTGAGAACATATTTAAATGTACAATGTCAAAGACTAAACCTATTTATTTGCTTGTAATTCACATTCCTCTATGACTTGCCTTTGTACATTTCTACTGATGTACCTTCAATAGATTGACAACAAAACTTGTCCTATTTGTACATCTATTGTTTCCATAAAACATTCCAACTGGAAAGGGTTCATTTCTGATCTCCGGGGAAAACTTGCCTTTTCGATAGATGGTTACTAACACTAATCTATCTGTTTTGTTTCTTGCATTCCATAAGCTAATGGAATAGTTTTTCATTAGCTTGTAGCTAATATCATATACTATTTATAGAGTGTTAGGTCACTTTACTTTTTCCACTTACAGTCTAGCATGTTCATAGCAAACTCTCCAAAATATGCAAATAGCGAACAGATTGTAAAATCCCAAATTTTTCTTATGCGTGTGTATATTGTTTGTAGCTAAATCATGTACATAGCAAAATTTGTATGTAATGAAAAGATTTTCGCCTGGCGCCACTTTGGCTAGGTGGGTGCTAGACTGTATGTGTCTTTGTGTCTTTGTACATTTGTGTCATGTGCCTTACCCAGCTTGTGGGGCCGACAGCTAAAGTGTTTGGTTCGGCTCCTCGGGTCGCTCTGAGTGCAGAAAGCACAAGTCCTGTCCTCATGTGGGGAAGATGTTTTTATTGAGGATGTTGGTCCTGTTCCGGGGATGTTTGTCCTTATTTCTGTGGCAAGGTGGTGACATCAGACACTCGTCAAAATAATGGAATCAAAGAAATACACATTTTTCTGAGCATTTGGCAATTTTGAAAACTATTTTTGGTTTGAGCTCAACATCTTTTATGGTTATTTATAAAGACATTCCTGTGTGGATTTTACTAAAAACTGTTGACCAAATTCATCCAAAAATAAAATTTTGCGATTTCCAAGGACGCTACAGCTTTACGAATCACTAAACTTTGGCAGCCATTTTCTCATTACTTTTACTTCTGAAATCAGAAGACTCTCACCTTTCTTCTAGCGCAAATATCTCGACATCCTTTCAATATAGATTGGGTATTTTTTGTTCTTCAAAAACAAGGCGAATGAACAGGCTTTAAACTGAAACCAAGAACTCTTTATGCCCAACAAAATGAACAAACGCGTGATTCCACGGCATCGTGACAGATTTTCATTGTAATTAAGATGTGAGTCAACGGCCATTTTTCTCCCAAAAGTCAGTTTGTGGCAAGAGGAATGACTCTATTGACCGAGTCGTTTATGAAAGTAGGTGGCACACTCTCGTCCAAAGTTAATCTGAATGAGTTTGGAACACAATTATATATAT